TTAGGCTTAGGCTTAGGCTTAGGCTTAGGCTTAGGCTTAGGCTTAGGCTTAGACTTAGGCTTAGGCTTATGCTTAGGCTTAGACTTAGGCTTAAACTTAGGCTCAGACATAAGGTTAGTATTAGGCTTATTTTTTTCTTAAGCTTAAGCTCATGGGCCAGGTCTTAGGATTAAGCTTTTCCGTACTTTTAGCCTGAGGCCCGAGCTTAAACTTTGTGTTAGGATTGAGTTCCGCTTAGATGACTTAGCTCAAGACTAACCGTAGTGTCACGTTTTAACTCAGACGTAGACTGAAATATAACGTTTTTCTTAGACTGATACTTAAAATTAAGTTTAGGCTTATATTCGAAAATTCCACTAAAATTTTTAAAACCTCAGGTTAAAATTTAAAGTCTCAATTACTAAAAATTAAAGATAACGTTGAAAACATCATGTATTATCGAAAAAAAATATATTTTTTAGCCAGTTGAACAAATAAATAAATTAAAAACTAAACCTTATCCCACAAAAAACGACAGTCTTTTAAATATATGCTGGGTTAAAATTTTTAGACCTATTATTCATTTTTGAAACTCTTTGACTACTTAAAATTTAAAGCCGTATTTTACAAAATTTTTCAAAGTTTTAATTGAACTTACCCAAATACTCTTCCATGTCAACATGTTGCCCGGCGTCTATACCCATTTAACTTTTCGGGATAGCAAAGAAAAGATAATTTTTGAAAATTTTGGTTTAGTACTAATAAGCGACTCTTTAGTACTAAAAAACAAAAATGTTTTAAAAATTTTAACCGCAGGGCAATTTAATAGTCTTTTGTAGTACAGGCTTTGTAGTACTAGTGCTAGCAGTGAAAAATAATATTTTTAGTACTAGTACAATTTTTTTTAGTATAATAGTACAATTAGTACCAAGAAATTTGAAAAACAGTACTAAAGACTAGTCCAAACGAGGCTAGTCTTGAACAAAGAGATTAGTCTTAACAAAGCAAGTTTGCAAAAATAGTACTAAGTACCAGCTGTGAATACTATATCAGCAATACAAATCTTCTACTACTTTGTCTAGTACTGAAAAATTAAAAAGTGGTACTAATTAGTATCAAAAATTTAGTGAAATCTTTGAAATGGCGCCATTAACAAGCCTTTAGTACAATATAATCTCAAAAGTAGTACAAAAAAGTATTTTTCAGTACAATATAATCTCAAAAATAGTACCAAGAAGTATCTTTCAGTACAATATAACCTTAAGAATAGTACCAAGAAGTATCTTTCAGTACAATATAATCTCAAAAATAGTACAAGCCACTATCTGCCAATACAGTACCCTTCAGTACAACAATTTAGCTTAGAAATAAAAGCGTGTTCAACCTTGCAAAGCACGTCAAAACAGTTAAAGAAAAGCTCCTGCTGTTCGCTCATTTTCGCAAAAACAACGTCTCGAGATCCGCCCTCAGGGCGAATGGATCTTTGAACCCGAAAACCTACGTTTCGAATTATTTAAAACAATATTTTGTTTGGAATCTCGCTGGTTTCAGGGATTTCGCCGACCTTAATCTGCTTTTTTTCGGTTAAAAGCGTGCGGAATGTTATGATATACACATTATATAGTGTCATTTTAAAAAAGGATTAAAATTTAAAGTTTAGTTTATACAAGATATAGGTGAGGTAAGGCTTCTAAGCTTGTTTTTACGTTTAGGCTTTTAATATTAAGCTTCTAGGCTTAAGTTTCTACGTTTAGGCTTTTAGGGTCAGGCTTCTAGGCTTATTCTTCTAGGTTTAAACTTCTAGGCTTAGATTTCTAGGCTTTTACGCCTTGGCTAGGTTTAATAGGTTCAGAATTAGTAAACTTAGCCTTAATAAGTTTAGGCTTTGCTCTACTAAACTTTCGCTTACTAGACTTGAACTTAGCAGCCCTAGACTTATTAGCTTAAAGTTAGTAGGCTTAGTACTTGAGCTTGATAGATAGGTTTAGACTTATATTTAAAACACGTTTTTTATAAATCGTGATCCCACTGGCGACGTCAAATTTCAAACATTTTTTAAAAATCTGAAATTTTTATCATGAAGGTTTTAGACAATGCTGAGTACAAAATTACAACTTTTTTTATTTTTGCTTATTGTATTGTGGAGTACTGTAAGGTTACGGTAGAATTTATATCTCCATAACGAATAGTTATAGAGACATGGCGTCTTCACTATCGTGTAGTACGACCACAATACAGTATTTCTTATGTTGGAGTCAAAGTTCCATGTATAATTTTACCGTAGTAAAAATTCGTATCTTGTGTCGTAATTACAGTAACCCAACAATAATAAAAAACGGTTTGGGATACCCCTCTTTTTTATTTTAGATTATTACTCTACATGTTATTGCGGTTCGAATGATATATAATTCAAAAAAAATTATTGTGACTTTTAGGGTCAAAGGTCAAGTTGAAGTTGGCCGACCCTATATGTATTTCGAAAAAAAATTTTAAAACTAAATAGAAACTAACTGGTGAAATAGTAGAGTTACTAAAACGCATTTTTATTATTACTTCAAGTTTACTTTGTCACTTTACCGTAGTAAAATTTCGTATCTTGTGTTGTAATTACAGTAACCCAACAATAATAAAAAAACGGTTCGAGATACCCCTCTTTTTTATTTTAAATTATTACTCTACATGTTATTGCGGTTCGAATGATATATAATTCAAAAACAATTATTGTGACTTTTGAGGTCAAAGGTCAAGTTGAAGTTGGTCGACCCTATATGTTGTATTTCGAAAAAAAAATTTAAAAAAATGTAAAAACTAACTGGTGAAAGGTACACCAGCAAAAATAAAACTACGCTTGATCTTTTTGGCCCTACCCAATTCCATTCCTGACCTTTTTAGTTCTACCCGACCTTACCTTTGACCCTTTTAGCCCTACCTGACCTTACCACTGACCATTTTAACCATACCCTACCATTTCTTACCCTATGCTACCTACTATATCGTACTCATCCTACCTGATATACCACACCATAATATACCGTACGTACCAAACCGTACCATGCCGTACCCTACCCTATCCTACCTACTATGCATACCATATCATATTATATCGTATGTTTTCTATTATCCTCTATCTTACCTACAATACCATACTCTGTACTACCTACCGTACAATACCTTACCAAATCCTGTACTACCATCTCCTATACTACCTACCATAAAATATTCTACTATACCCTGTACTATTATATATTATACCATACCCTATACTACCTACTCTAGCATACAGCAACATATTATATTAACATTATACCGTATGTTCCCTACTATACCATACTTTGTCTACCTACTATACCGATACCATAGTATCCCATACCATACTTTATCCTATCTACCAAACTATGCCATATCTTACTCTGCCTAATCTTTTATTTACAACACTACCGTATACTATAATATTTATCCATTGGTTCAGGTTGAGTAATTAAGGCAAGATATGTGGTTTAATATAGGCTAATATAGAATAGTATTATAGGTAAGATAGGGTATGATATGGTATGGTATGATACAGTCTGGTATGGAATGGTAGGTAGTATAGAGTATGACATGGTAGGGTCAGGTACGGCTAAAAGGGTCAGAGGTAAGGTCGGGTAGGACTAAAAAGGTCAGGGATGGAATTGGGTAGGGCCAAAAAGGTCAAGCGTAGTTTTATTTTTGCTGGTGTACCTTTCACCAGTTAGTTTTTACATTTTTTTAAATTTTTTTTTCGAAATACAACATATAGGGTCGACCAACTTCAACTTGACCTTTGACCTCAAAAGTCACAATAATTGTTTTTGAATTATATATCATTCGAACCGCAATAACATGTAGAGTAATAATTTAAAATAAAAAAGAGGGGTATCTCGAACCGTTTTTTTATTATTGTTGGGTTACTGTAATTACAACACAAGATACGAAATTTTACTACGGTAAAGTGACAAAGTAAACTTGAAGTAATAATAAAAATGCGTTTTAGTAACTCTACTATTTCACCAGTTAGTTTCTATTTAGTTTTAAAATTTTTTTTCGAAATACATATAGGGTCGGCCAACTTCAACTTGACCTTTGACCCTAAAAGTCACAATAATTTTTTTTGAATTATATATCATTCGAACCGCAATAACATGTAGAGTAATAATCTAAAATAAAAAAGAGGGGTATCCCAAACCGTTTTTTATTATTGTTGGGTTACTGTAATTACGACACAAGATACGAATTTTTACTACGGTAAAATTATACATGGAACTTTGACTCCAACATAAGAAATACTGTATTGTGGTCGTACTACACGATAGTGAAGACGCCATGTCTCTATAACTATTCGTTATGGAGATATAAATTCTACCGTAACCTTACAGTACTCCACAATACAATAAGCAAAAATAAAAAAAGTTGTAATTTTGTACTCAGCATTGTCTAAAACCTTCATGATAAAAATTTCAGATTTTTAAAAAATGTTTGAAATTTGACGTCGCCAGTGCAATTGGCTCTGGCTCGAGCTTTACAAAAAACATTTTTTAATAAGCTTAGGAATTACGTTAGGCTTAAGCTTCTAGGCTCAGGCGTATATAAGCTTAAGCGTCTAGGCTTAGGCTTCTAGGCTTAAACTTTTAGGCTTAGGCTTCTAGGCTTAGGCTTCTAGGCTTAGGCTTAGGCTTCTAGGCTTAGGCTTCTAGGCTTAGGCTTCTAGGCTTAGGCTTCTAGGCTTAGGCTTCTAGGCTTAGGCTTCTAGGCTTAGGCTTCTAGGCTTAGGCTTCTAGGCTTATGCTTCTAGGCTTAGGCTTCTAGGCTTAGGCTTCTAGGCTTAGGCTTCTAGGCTTATGCTTCTAGGCTTAGGCTTCTATGCTTAGGCTTCTAGGCTGAAGCTTCTAGGCTTAACCTTCTATTCTTAGGCTTCTATTCTTAGGCTTCTAGGCTTAAACCCCTAACTTTTTTGAAATTTTCAGATGCTAAAATTTTAAAATCAAAAAAAAATTAAAGTTCCTTCACTTACCCAAATCCTCCAAACTGGCAGTCCCGGCCGCTTTCGTGATTTCATCGATGGTTTCCTGTCTTTGTTTCAACGACAGCCGTCTGGTTCTTAAGCTTTGAGCTCTTTTCAAAACCTCTTCTTCCTGAGGCGATCTGATTCCCATAGCCATCCACAAGGATTCACGACGATGCTCCTTCTCCGAAGCCACCGACTTTATTGTTGGTGGTTCATCGGTCGATGAGTTTTCATCATCTGCCATTTTGAGTTGATAATGGTTGAGTTGGGGGCAGGGAATGGGATTATAACTGAAGATTGTTGTATTAGTTTATTTGAAATGGCATTTGTTGATAAAAATGTAATTAAAACGCGACAAAAGTGACATGAATGTGCAATCAAAAAAAATTGTTTACTGTCAGAATGTCAGTATATTTTGGTCAACTTAGGCTTACAAGGAAAGTGCCCGACCTGCCCTGCTCTGATTGACTTCAAACTTTTTATAAAGAAAGATCACGTAAATATAAGATCTTCAGCAGAGTACTAAATCGCGCTTTCCAGGAAATCTCGAGAAAATCGAAGATAAAAAATGACATTTTGAATTTCCCGCCAACTTGGCATTGTGTTTCAAGCTTATAACTCGACCATTTTTTGACTTTATCATATTTCTTGGATATACAAGTAAAATACTTTTAAATAAACCTACATTTTTTTATTTGTATGTGTAGCTTAGCTAGAAAGTCGAAAAAATCGCTTAAAACACAATGCCAAATTGGCGGGAAACTAAAATAATTAAAATTTTAAACTCAAAAGCGCGGGTTAAAACTTTCTGTGGTTACTATTTATGGTACAAAGAATTCATATAAAAAATTTGAGCTGATTCTGAGCGGGGCAGGTAGGGTACTTTCCTTGTTGGTAGGCATAGGCTTCGACTTATAACCTTCAGAACCCAGGCTTAAAATTATAGCATTACGTTTCTAAAATTAAACTTCTAAGTTTGAGCTGCAAGACGTAGGCCTTCAACATATAATTTAATACTTTTTGGTTAGTCTTTTAGGCTTAACCTTTTAGGCTTAGTCGATTATAACAAATCTTAAAATCAAAAAGCTTTTATTTACTACAGCAAAATGCTCAAAAACAACTTTTTTATCCTCTCTATATTATTTAATTATAAAAAATAAAAAATGCGTGAGCTGGAAAACGTTGAATGACTGTTCACACGGAAGAAATGGCTTATAATAATATAAAGAAACAATCCAGATATTATTTGTTAAAAACTTAATCTTTGGACAAACAAATCTGACTTTTTCTGGTTTTAAGGCAATAAACAACAGTCTAAAAGAGTTTGATTTATAGACTAAAACAAAAACTAGGGCCAAAACTTATACCAAAGTTAAGGATAAAACTAAGGCTAAGAGTAAGGCTAAGGTTGAGGCTTAGGCTTAGTCTTAGGCGTAGACTTAGGCTTAGGCTTAAGTATAGGCTTAGGCTTAGACTTAGCCTTAGGCTTATTAGGCTTCGGCTTATTCTTTGGCTTAGGCTTAGGCTTAGGTTTTGGCTTTGGCTTTGGCTTAGGCTTAGGCTTAGGCTTAGGCTTAGGCTTAGGCTTAGGCTTAGGCTTAGGCTTAAACTTAGGCTTAGGCTTAAGCTTATGTTTAGGCTTACGCTCAGGTTCAAGCTCAGGCTCAGTCTCAGTCTCAGTCTCAAGCTTAGGCTCAGGCTCACGCTCCGGCTTAAGCTCAAATTCTGGCTCATACTCAAGAATAAGTGGCTTAATTTATGCTCAAGCTCAAATCAGGTTCATATTCTCGCCTTAGGCTTAGGCTTAGGCGTAGGCGTAGGCTTAGGCTTAGGCTTTGGCTTAGGCTTAGGCTTTGGCTTAGGCTTAGGCTTAGGCTTAGGCTTAGGCTTAGGCTTAGGCTTAGGCTTAGGCTTAAGCTTAAACTTAGGCTTACGCTCAGGTTCAGGATCAGGCTCAGGCTCAGTCTGAAGCTCAGTCTCAGGCTCAGGCTCAGGCTCAAGCTCCGGCTTAAGCTCAAATTCTGGCTCATATTCAAAATTAAGTTCAAGCTCAGGCTTAAGTTATGCTCAAGCTAAAACCACAATTTAAAAAACTAAGGCTAGAAGTTTAAGCCTAAAAGTCTAAACCTAGAAGCCTAAAGAGCGCAAGCTAAGACTTTCAAACATAATAAACCAGTACATTCTAAACCATGTTTTGAAAAGAAATCTTTGGAAAAACTCAAAATAGACCATGTTATCTCAGAGTCATGGCATCTCCATTGTCATAACAAAAATATTCAGCTCTTTTTCGTGTTTTGGTTTTAAAAAACATTAATTAAAAAGTCAAAAACAAACAATAATCATCTCGAAAAATGATGCTACAGAGGTACTTGAATATGTCAACACGTTGAACACAAATTTAGACTTTACTACAATTTTTACACAAATATAGTACACTACAGGTCTAAAGGACCCGTTCACAAAAAATATTTCAAAAACAAAACTAAAATAAGTTTTCAATCAAAACAACATCTAAAACCACAGGCTGCGGCTCAGCCCCAAGCTCAACCCCAGGCTGAGGTTTAACTCAGGCTACGGCTCAAGCTAAGACCAATACCAAGGCCAAAAGAAGGCTATAACTAAGACTAAAAACCTGAAAACTTACATAAATTCACTAAGAAACCCAATGCTTGTTTTCTATGCCTACCCTTCTCCACCCCTTATTATAGTCCCATAAAGAACACTATTATTACTGGTCATAAGAACATTCCTCTTGCACTTTCGAGCCAGACAATTTTTATTATATATAGTATAAGGAAGAGAAAACCCTATATATAACCGAATTAAGCCTGATAAAAGAGGTAAAATATGAAAAAGAGATTTTTTCGGTTCAATTATTATATGGAAATTAAAACTTCAGCTAAAACTAATACTAACGACAAGACTTAAGCTAGAAGTCAGGCTGAGACTAAGACCAACGCTAAAACTTGAGCGTAATACTGATCTTGAGCCAGGTCATGAAACTAAGCCCAAGATACAGCACAAGCCTGAACTTGAGCCTGAGCCTAAGCCTAAGCTTGAACGTGAGCCTAAGCCTAAGCCTAAGCCTAAGACTAAGCCTAAGACTAAAACTAAGCCTAAGCCTAAGTCTAATCCTAAGCTAAAGTCAGAGCTTGAGCCTGAGCATAAACCTAAACCAAAAACTTAGACTAAGCCCAATCCTAAAAAACTAACCCAATCTTAAGGTTAAGCCAAGGTTTAAACTATTACTTAAGAACGCCAATTATATAAAGATATAAAGTTTAAAAAAATTAACTGCTCCCCCTTCCCTCCCCATTAAAAATAATTTTTCTACCCTTGGCATCACAAAAAGCCTTATGCCATTCATACTCAATAAACTGGACTAATTCCCATTTAAACTCTGCTCATAAACACTCCAAGAACCGAACAATTTCGGCCGTTGAAGAAAAAACAGCGACGAGACATGATGAATGCCTGCGGGCATAATCGTGACTGTAACGCTAATTGCCATGCCCAAAAATATTTACTCAGCAAGCGGGGAGAAAACAAGCCTCAGCCAAATCCAATAAGACTATTCTTCGTCTTCGTGGTCATTTTTTTTCTACACGCCCTCCGGGCACAAGTGAAAAGACAACCTACTTACTGGCGCTTCAAAATTTTTTTTTCGAATTTTTTAAAGCGGTTAGAGTCAGAAACCGGCCGCCTTAAATATTTAAACAATCCAGTATGGAGGGGAATTACTATGTACTCGGCTGGCATAAATAGAAAATGAAGGAGGAGTGGGGGTCGAAAATATGAGATATAGGAAAATAATAGTAGAAAAAAATGAAAATTTAGTAGTAGGGTAAAAATTGAGTAAAAAAAGCATAATGCTGAAAAAGAATAATTAGATATTGGAAGGGGGAGGGACAAAAAAATCCGAAAATATAATATAAGATTAGAACAGGATAAAAATAACATGAGTAACGGGCAGGGCCTGACTAAAATTAAAAACGGGCCGCGCCTGACAAGTGGGCTCGGCCCGGCATGTTGCTCATGTCTAGATAAACAAAAGTAAGACAGGGTAGGGTAGGGCAATACATGATAGGATAAAGCAGAGCAAGTCCGGGCAAGACAGGGTAAGATAAAGTAGTTTACAACAGAAGAAATTAAAGATGGAGTAATTTGGGGGCAAAGGCAAGGATAGGGCCAAAGCCAGATCTAAATCTAGAGCTAAGGCTACAATGAAAAAAGCTCGGAGCTAGAGCTCTGGGCTATGGCTCTAGACTAGGGCACTGGGGTAAGCCTCTGGGCTTGAGCTCTGGGCTTGAGCTCTGGGCTTGAGCTCTGGGTAGGGCTCTAGGCTAAGACTTTAAGCTAGGGCTCTAGGCTAAGGCTCGAGGCTAGGGCTCTGGGCTAGGGCTCTGGGCTTGAGCTCTGGGCTTGAGCTCTGGGTAGGGCTCTAGGCTAAGACTTTAAGCTAGGGCTCTAGGCTAAGGCTCGAGGCTAGGGCTCTGGGCTAGGGCTCTGGGCTAGGGCTCTGGGCTAGGGCCCTGGGATAGGGCTCTGGGCTAGGGCTCTGGGCTAGGGCTCTGGGCTAGGGCCCTGGGATAGGGCTCTGGGCTAGGGCTCTGGGCTAGGGCTCTGGGCTAGGGCTCTGGGCTAGGGCTCTGGGCTAGGGCTCTGGGCTAGGGCTCTGGGCTAATCACTCTTTCATCTTATATATTACATTTTTTAAATAATTCTGTGCCTTATTTCAAAGAAAATTTTTGAAATTGTAGGGCACGGTATTATATGAACAAACCTAATATTCACTTTTTTTCCCACACTGGTCCGACCTGTTTTTTTACCAGTCCGCGTATTTTTGGACCCTGCCCGATACGATCCACCCAACCTTGACTAAAGACCTTCTCTGATCCGCGTGGGCCCACTCCACATAACAAAACATATCCATAAAACAAAATGTGGTCATACGATAGCCGATCACTTGAACTTGGCGCACTCCAAAAGCCACTTCAACTAGAAAGGATGAAAGATTATAGACAAGGATCACCACGGTTTGACAAACTTTGTCATCGTTCAAAGATAAAACGACTTGAAGTTTGACTTTGCTCAAGGACAAACAATTTTAAACCAAATTTCAAATTTTTTAAATTTTTTAAATTTCAAAAAAAATTTTTTTTTCAAAAATTTAAAAAATTTAAAAATTTAAAAAATTTAAAATTCAAAAATAAGCCTTAAAGTCAAAATAAAACGCGTTTTCATATCAAAAAACCATGTCGAACATCTCGACGGCCGAGACTAAGTTGAAGCCGTTTTGGCGCTCCAATTCCCCCGAGGGCATTGAATTCCTTCCCATTCAATAAATTTTATGTGCACGCTTCACTTACGGACAATCAAAACCCATTACCTGAACTGTTTTTCAATAAATAAGTCATAAAAATTTAAAAATTTTAGCAAGTCACAAGCCTAATATCAGGTTTAAGCCTAAGCCTAATCTAGAACCTGGAACTAAGACTAAAAGTAAGTTTAAACCTAAGCTATAAACCACAAGACTGAGCCTAGTCTATGCTTAGAAGCTTAATGGTAAAAGCCTAAGCCTAAAAGCCTAAGCTTAAATTTAAGCCAAAATCTAAGCCTAAATTTAAACTTAATACTGAGCCTAAGCCTGAGCTTAGTTTTAAGTTTAAGGCTTTTTTTAAACCTAATTCTAAGGGCCAGCCCGAAACTAAGCCTAAAATCATGCCCATGCACAAGCCTAACTTCAAGCCTATTTTTAAGCCTATTGCTAACCTTAAGCCTGACCCTAGCCCTAAACTTGAAAATAAGCAAAGCCCCTAGCCTAAGCCTAAACCTAAGTTTAAGCATATGCATAAGCATAAGTCTAAGCCTAAGCCTAAGCCTAAGCCTAAGCCTAAGCCTAAGCCTAAGCCTAAGCCTAAGCCTAAGCCTAAGCCTAAGCCTAAGCCTAAGCCTAAGCCTAAGCCTAAGCCTAAGCCTAAGCCTAAGCCTAAGCCTAAGCCTAAGTCTAAGCCTAAGCCTAAGCCTAAGCCTAAGCCTAAGTTTAAGTCTAAGGCTAAGTCTAAGCCTAAGCCTAAACCTAAGCCTAAGTCAAAATTTAAAGCTAAGCTAAGCCCAATCGCAAACTTAAGCCTAGCCTAAGCCTAAGTTTGAACCTAAGTCTAAGCCAACGTTTAAGTTTTAAACTAAAACCCTAAAATTAAGCTTAAGTCTAAGCTTAGGTTAAAAAACGTATAGTCCATTGTCATAGTGTATATAATCAACAAAGCCTAGCTCTCGCCGCTTTAAAAACTTGACAAATTGGTTTAAAAATGCACTTTTAGGACAAATTCTCTTAAGTTTAGGACAAAAAGCTTAGTTCCAAAAGTTCGTTTTCAAGAATAACATATGGTAATGTTTAAAATAGTCTTCGCTTTTTGTCTGTTTTCTTTACATTTTCTCAAAACGTCTTTGGCATATGATACAATGTGTCATAACGTCTCTTTTTTCGAAAAATCAAAGTATTCTCGGCCTTTTGATTCGTCATAAAAGTTTTGGCAGTCTAGCGAAAGCTTTGAATTTTTGACAAATGGCAAAACTTGTTAATCAAGCAATACAACTTAAAGTCTAGTTTCCGCTTACTTCTAGTCTAGCGCTTAGGTTTAAGCTTAGGCTTACAAGGAAAGTACCCAACCTGCAACTCTCCGAATTAGCTCAAAATTTTTATACAAATTCTTTGTAGTACCAGTAGCACATATAAAAAAATTTTAGCTCGCGCTTTTAAGTTTTAATTTTAAAATTGTTTGAGATTCCCGCCAGATTAGCAAATTTGGCATTGTGTTGCAAGCACTTTTTTTGATGTTCCAGACAAGATAGGCTTACAAATTTAAAATATCAGGTTTATTTGAAGCTTTTCTATCATTATATCAAAGAAAAATAGTTAAAAGTTTATCAATGAGGAAGTTATAAGCTTGCAACACTATGCCAATTTATCGGAAAATTCAAAACGCAATTTTTTGATCTCGCTTTTCTCAAGCCTGGCCGCAAACCGCAACTTATTATACCTTCCTTGTTTGTCTCAGGCTTAGAATAGGGCCACAAAATGAGGCTAGGGCTTGTGGTTGAGGTTGGGAAAGGTCTTATGTTTAGTCTACAGCTTAGGCTTATACTTAATTTTACATAATATGTGTAGTAAATAAAAAGTAATCACCCAAAGAAATACGGAGTAAAACCCTGGAACTCGCAGTCATTTGTTGGGTCGTTTTACATCGAGGCAAATGTTATATAAAATTGTAAAATTACATAAGAAAAAGTTACGCAACACGGTTTCTTGCAATTTCTCTAAGGCTATCCAGTTATATCAGCGATTATGTAAGTCAGCATAAATCCTAACCAGTTTTAAAATATAAATTCAGTATAAAACTAAATTATATAATGCAATTTAACATGACTAAGTTTATCAGGCTTAAGCCTGATAAACTACGCTTAGATTAGCTAAACATAGGATTGGTAATTTTAAGCTTGGGCTTAGTAGGTTTAGGCTTAATAGGCTTAGGCTCAGTAGGCTTAGGCTTAGTAGGCTTAGGCTTAATAGGTTTAGGCTCAGTAGGTTTAGGCTTAATAGGCTTAGGCTCAGTAGGCTTAGACTTAGTAGGCTTAGGATTAGTAGGCTTTGGCTTAGTAGGCTTAGGTAATAGTAGGCTAAACTTATCTTACAAACTTAGGCTTAATAAATTGCAACTTAGTAAGCTTAAGCATAGTAAACTTATACACAGTAGGATTAGGCTTAAAAATAGTAGGCTTAACATTAAAGTTCGAAAACTTAGTGACTTACTTCAATTTTTTCTTATCAATATTATCAAATTAAAACCTGCTATTATCTTTTTCTATAACTTGCTTACTAACTTAAAAAACCCTATAATATTTATCCCAAGTCCACCTTTGACCCACGCTTAAGTCCGTGCAAGCCCAGCGGCCATTATAATCGATTCAAGCCTTCCGGTGCCGAACTAAATTTAAGACAAAAGTGTTGAAAAATTGGTTGAAAGCGTCGGAATTTTTATTTTTTTTTTGACAAAAAATGTCGGAAAACCCTTGACTCCCCCCCCCGTCTTTCTCGTTTCTATAGCCTTAGGCCTCGAAAACAGGTGTGGGTTTTTAATGACGCTTGGGGCCGATGCGTTCGGCCGTCCAGAGTTTAATTGAGGGGCTGCGATGCGACAGTTTGGAAAGACAAATTGAGTATGGGCATGGTTTTGAATAGTATATTGAGGAAGGTAGAGTTGGGTACGTATAAGGCAAGGAAGAATAGGGAAGGTAAGGTTGCGGTAGGGTAGAACAGGGTAGGACAGATTAGGGAAGGGCATTGTAGATTAGAGTAAGGTAGAGTAGAGGACTGTAGGGTAAGGTAAGGAAAGCTGCAGCCGAGTAAGATTAATTGTAGGGTCGGTTAGAGCTTATTATAGAGTCAGTCGGGTAGAATTTACTGTAGAAGTGGTAGGGCTTACTCTAAGGACAGGTAGTATGTATTGTAGGGTCAAGTAGGGCTTAATGTTAGGACGAGTAGGGCCTGCTGTAGGGTGAGATAGAACTGACTATAGAGTCGAGTAGGAACTACTGCAGGATCAAGTAGGAATTTACTGTAGTGGCGGGTAAGGCTTACTGTAGGCACGGGTAGAGCTTAGTACAGGACCGAGTAGGACTTACTCTAAGGTCGAGTACAAGTTTACTGTAGGGTCAAGTAGGGCTTAATGGAGAGCCGGACAGAGCTTAGTATAGAGTCAGGTAAGGCTGGATGTGGTGTTTAGTAAAGCTTACTTTGAATTCAGGTAAGATTTACCGTAGATTGGGTAGGGTTTACTGTAGAGTTGGGTATGTGTCACTGTAACATAGAGTAAAGAAGGGTAGGGTTGTGTAAAGTATAGTCCCAATCGGTTCACTCACAGTCAACTCAGATTGGGGAGGGGGTCGGAGGTCAAACTTCGATGCTTTCAGTATTGGACAGGGCAGAGTAGGGTAAATTAGGGCTAAAAAGTTATCAATACAAATAATTATGAGCATTTTTATTAAGTTCAATATTGAAATAAAGCCAATAAAAATATAAAAAAAAACAAAACAAGAATAAAGAAATTCATTGGGACAGTAAATTTAGCATTACCCGTAAATAAAATATTAGACTAAAAATAAACCATTTTTCAAAAATTATTTAAAAAACCTTTAAAATATTACGTTGTATCAAAAGTGGCGCGGCACTTTTCATTAATTTTTGAACTAATGTCCCGCTACTTTTGGTTCAACCTAATAGTACAAATTTGACTAGAAAAGTAACTACAATAGAATTATGTCATGGCAAGTACAATATTTAAAATCAAACAAAAATTTAAAAAACTTGAAATTAAAACTGATTTTGAGACATTTTTTATTGTTTGAGGTATAAACAAAAGTATATTTTTATTAAAAAATCAAATTTTAGACTACAAGTTTCAGTACGAATATTATAAAAAATGACATTTTTAGTTAAGAGGTACCATTTTTTTAACAAAACAGTACTGTTTTTAATAAAAAAGTACCATTTTTTACAGGAATTAAAATTTTTTAACCAAATAGCACCATTTTTTATCAAATAGTACCGTTTTTGCATTAAATAGTACCATTTTTCAATTAAATAGTACCACCTTTTAGCAAAAAGTACTATTTTTCAATCCAATAGTACCACTATTCAACAAAAAATACGTCTTTTTATTAAAACAGTACCATTTTTATATGAAATAGTACCACTTTCATCAAAAAACACTACTTTTTCCCATTAAAACGTACCATTTTTAGTGAAACAGTATCACATTTTATCATAAAATACTAATTTTTACTCAAACGGTACCACTTTTCAAGCAAACAGTACCATTTTTCAATATAAATAGTACCATTTTAAATAAAAATGCCACTTTTTCAAAAGTAGTACCCTTTCCTACTAAAAAGTACCACTTTTCAATAAAAATAGTACCATTTACAAAAACGCTATTTTTTCAAAAATAGTATCATTTTAAAAACAAAAGGTACCACTTTACAACCCAAATAGCACCATTTCAACCAAAAATGCCATTTTTAAAAAACCCATGCCTTCTCCAAATCCTACAAGTCAACATTGTTCTTGAACTCTTGAAAGTCTCGAACAATATCATTCTCGGCCAACTTCCGCAGCACCGTCCAATACAGCACGTTGAACATGATGAACGTGAAGGGGAAGATGGCTCGAGAACAGCGGTCGATTTTGGCCGGCGAACACTGGACTTGACACTTGAGTGGTCGTTTTCGACGCATTTTCGGGAACGGTATGGTCTGGTGGAAGGTGTTGTCATTCGTCATTTGAGCGTACTGGACTAGTGGGATTGCGCTGAAGATTTTAAAATTTAAAAAAATTTTCGAAATTAAATGAAATTTTGAAAAATTTTTGAAATTTGAAGCTTTTGCTCCCATACCCAAATGTTTTTTAAAGGCAAGGAGGAGGGGAGGGGGTGGGCAAAAAGAGGGATACGAAATGAGAAAGCTGGGTAAAAAGAGTTGGGGATAAAAGAGGAGTAAGTTAAAGGGGTAGGGTAAAATTAAAGACGGCAGGGTAAAAGCGAGAAAACGGGGTAAAAGAAGAAGGTATTGGGTGCCGACATAAAGAACCCGCCTTTTTTACAAAAAGTTACAGAAAAAGTATGGCGGGTTCTTTATGTCGGCACCTAATAGGATAAAAGAACAAAAGGTGGGGTAGAACAAGAAAAAGTGTTATAAAAAGAGAAAAGGCAGGGTAAACAACACCTTTAATCTAATTTATGCCCACCCATGCCGTAAACCTACTCGCATTCCATCCCTACCCTACCTTCACCCTTTTATCTTACTTTTTCCAACCCCTGTCCTACCCCTTTTTCCTACAACTGCCCTACCCCTATCTCCACTCCTTTCTCTACTACCAGCCACTACCCTTACCTCCACCCCATTCTTCCAATTTTCGCTACCCCTAATCCTAGTCTCTATGTCCTTACCCTTCCCACTAATATTCCTCTACCCCTGCCTGTCCAAATTTCTCCCACCCCCGCCCTACCCAAGAATTCTCAAAAAAAACCCTACCGACAATCACAATCAGGTGGTACACTAGGCAGTCCAGGCGGTCGATAGACGTAACTTTGGTTTGGTGAGACAGCCAGACCGCCAGCTGGAGTTGTCGGATAGTTGGTAAACATTGGCATTTCGGTGGGTTCGTTGTTCTGGGCGCGGGCTTTGCGTTGTTGTCGTCTTCGAGACTGGCGTTTGTTCCAATATGACACTACTGCATATTCGACCAGAGAGGCGAATACCATTATGAAACAAAAGTTCAGGAATACATCCAAGCCCTGAAATTTAATTTTTGAAACTTTAGTACTGTAGGGTAATGTAGGGGTACCTTAAGATAAGGTATAGGGACTGCAGGCAAGTAGGGTACTGTAAGGCAAAGTAGAATTCTGTGGAGAAAGGTAGGATACTCTAGGGCAAAGATGAGTACTGTAGGGCAAATAGAATACTGTAAGGCAAGGAAGAGTAGGGTAGAGTACGGTAGGGTAGGGTAGAGTAGGGTAGCGTAGGGTAGGGTAAGGTAGGGTAGGGTAGGGTAGGGTAGGGTAGGGTAGGGTAGGGTAGCGTAGGGTAGGGTAGGGTAGGGTAGGGTAGGGTAAGGTAGGGTAGGGTACGGTAGGTTTAGTGTAAGGTAGGGTAGGGTAGGGTAGGGTAGGGTAGGGTAGGGTAGGGTAGGGTAAGGTAGGGTAGGGTAGGGTAGGGTAGGGTAGCGTAGGGTAGGGTAGGGTAGGGTAGGATAGGGTAGGGTAGGGTAGGGTAGGGTAAGGTAGGGTAGGGTACGGTAGGTTTAGTGTAAGGTAGGGTAGGGTAGGGTAGGGTAGAGTAGGGTAGGGTAGCGTAGGGTAGGGTAGGGTAGGGTAGGATAGGGTAGGGTAGGGTAGGGTAGGGTAAGGTAGGGTAGGGTAGGGTAGGGTAGGGTAGGGGTAGCGTAGGGTAGGGTAGGGTAGGGTAGGGTAGGGTAAGGTAGGGTAGGGTACGGTAGGTTTAGTGTAAGGTAGGGTAGGGTAGGGTAGGGTAGGGTAGGGTAGGGTAGGGTAAGGTAGGGTAGGGTAGGGTAGGGTAGGGTAGGGTAGCGTAGGGTAGGGTAGGATAGGATAGGGTAGGGTAGGGTAGGGTAGGGTAAGGTAGGGTAGGGTACGGTAGGTTTAGTGTAAGGTAGGGTAGGGTAGGGTAGGGTAGGGTAGGGTAGCGTAGGGTAGGGTAGGGTAGGATAGGGTAGGGTAGGGTAGGGTAGGGTAGGGTAAGGTAGGGTAGAGTACGGTAGGTTTAGTGTAAGGTAGGGTAGGGTAGGGTAGGGTAGGGTAGCGTAGGGTAGGGTAGGGTAAGGTAGGGTAGGGTAAAAACTTACCTTAACATAAGAAACCTTAGGCATGCTATTATTAGTGGTAGTGATCAAAGTAGTCATTGTCAACACAGTAGTCACTCCCAAGCCCACTCGAGCTGGTGATGCTTCTCTATTAAGCCAGAAGGACACCCATGATATGCTGACAATAAGCATCGATGGAATGATTATGTTCATCAAGTAGAAACCCAAGTTTCGAGTCAGGATCATTTGAACGTACAAACGAACGTAGCGGCCTGAAATGTCACTTATGACCAAAATTTTGATTTTAGGTAACAAATTTTACGAAAACGTCATTTTAGGTAATACTTTTTTAAGAAAAATGTCATTTTAGGTAACACTTCTTTAAAAATGTCATTTTATGTTCAAAATCGATATTTTAGGTAACAGCAACATAAAAAATGTCAATTTATGACCAAAATTTATATTTTAGGTAACAATTGTTACAAAAATGGAATTTTAGGTAACAAACTTCTAAAAAATTTCCCTTTACGTCCAAAATGTATACTGCAGGTCACAAATTATATAAAAGTATCATTTTAGGTAACAAATTTACAAAAAGATGACCAAAAACCAAAATTTACGACAAAATAACCATCTACCCACCTGAAGAAGTAACAGCCTCGGTAACATTCACTCTGTACCCAGTCCGATGAAACTGTGGCAGTCCAAACGAATCAAAAGCCACCGCCTTTATTGCCGGCTCTTCTCCTTTGATCTTACCCCAATGTAACTCAATATCAGCGGTCGTGTAGCCATAACTCTCAATCTCCAGCTTACATTCCTGCGTATCCATGGGAAACAGCTTCAGCTTCATCGGGCATGTCGCGGTAACAGTGAGCCGCTGACTCAGTAGTACTCGACCATCCGGATCGATTCGCAAAAAGGAATTGTGAGAGGTGGAGGTATGGAAGAAGGATTTTTTCTCATTCGGAAAGAAAGTATCCGGCTTCCAAAGACGGTCCAGGTATTCCACACCGACTGTTAAGGATTTGATCTTCTGAAATCCGAGGTCCAGTTTGCCGAAGGCTAGCCGAGGGTCTTGCCAGGTTTGTCTGAAATTGGATTATTAAAACCTTTTTAGACTGTTTTGGGTATCAAAAAATATTAAAAAGGCTATTTTAGGTATTAAAAACTTTTAAAAATGTCATTTCATCTCTCAGAAACTGCATTTTAAACCTAAAACAATATAAATTCAAATTTTATTTGGCATTTCGTTTCAATTTCGGCCAAGAATTCTCTAGAATTTTCAAAAGGATTTCAAGAAGGTTTGAGTGATTCAAGCAAAAATGATGTCAGAAGACGAAGAAAAATGGCTAGAATAAGATCAGAAAGGTGTTGGTAAGTGTTTTCTTTGTGTTTCTGTTGTTTTAGGTGTGAAGTTTGGCAAGTAAGCTAAAGAGGAGAATAATCAAAATTTCAGGTTAAAATAAGGTCAGAAGTTGGAGAAGAAACGTGGAAAAGAGATCAGAAGATGTAGAAAGGCTAAGATAAAAACGGAATTGGTGTTGTAAGTGTTTTCATGTTATTTTTCTTGTTTTAGGTGTGAATTTGGGCTGGTTTTTGAGCTAGAATGAAGAGTAATCAACGGTACAAGCTAAAATACTATCCGATTTGGATGAAGAAGCTCTAAAACAAGGTCAAAAGTCGGAGGAATAGCTAAAATATGATCAGAAGTGGATTTGTAAGTGTTTTATATGATATTTTTGCTGTTTTAGATAAAAAGTAACTTATTTGAACAAAATGGGATCTCTTCGTCGATTTCGAAGCATTATTTCAATAACTGGGCATGTTGAAATTGTTTTAGATCGGTTTTTGGGTAACAATCGAAAAGCTTGGCTGGTTCAGGAGTTCAGAGTGAGCAGAAGAGATAGATGTGTAAGAGAGTATTGAATGTTTTTACTTGTTTTAAGTAACATTTTAGATAATTTATTTTGAGTGTTAGATCTAATAATGTTGCTTAACGTGTTCATGGACGTTTTACCTTATTTTAGATGTTTTTCATTTGTTTTATATTGTTATATATCTTAGTTTTCATTTTAAAATCGGGTCAGAAAGCAACAAAAACTTACCGTAAGTAAAAATCTATGGTAAAGTCCATGTCAACTTCAGAAACTGCACTAATTGAAGAGACATGAAGAGTTATGCCTACCATAACTGGTCCACCACCATAGGTGGGCCTTAAGCGCTTATCATATTTGGATTTGTCTACCAGCCTGTTTAGAACCTGAAATGGCGTGAATTTAGATTTTTTTGAAAAAATAGGGTTTTAAAAAATTAGTTTAGGCTTAAAAATCATTTTAGGCTTAAGGAGGATTTTAGGCTTATAAAAAATCATTTTTAGCTTAAAGAATAATTTTTAGGCTTAAAAATCATATTTAGGCTTAAAAACTCATATTTAAGCTTAAAAATCATTTTTAGGCTTAAAGAATCATATTTGAGCTTAAAAATTACTTGTAGGCTTAAACCTCAGTTTAGGCTTAAAAATCATTTTAGGCTTATAAGTGCAAAAATTTTTTTGATTTTTAACAGTAAGGTGCAAGTTACAGTACCTGTGATATGTAAGTAGTATTCGGAGTTTCGTCGTCGGCCAAAAACGGATTTGAGATTTGTTGAGCGCACCCGTAGTTTAACGTGTAGCACACCATGAGAAGGCAGGTGAGAAGGCGTATGAATCTCATATGATTCGGGAATTTGACTACATTCCACATTGAAATGTTCAGATATGTCGTTTTGTCATCATCTTCATAGTCTTCTTGTTTATTTTCTTCGTAGTCTTCGTACTGGGATGAATCACTTTCATCGTATTCTGCATCTGTATAGCCATCTTGGTCTTGCCGATGATTTTTTGTGTTTTCATAAATTTCACGGTGATTTCTGTAGTCATGATGTGTCAATTCTGAGTCTTTAGAATGTCTAGGGTTTTCAGAAAAAGTCGTAAATGTTCTGTTTTCTTTATTTTTTCTACTGTAACATTTGGAGCATATTGTAGTAGGTTCTAACCCGCTTTTCGAGGTTGATGTAGTTAATTTTTTAGAAGGCGTAGTAAAAGATGACGAAGCAGAATCAGCTACACATTTGTACTGGTCATAAAGATTTAAGGAACTGTCCGTACTGTAAGAAGCCTTCATACTATCATCTTCTTGAACACATTCTACTCCTAAAGAATGGTATAAAGTTGATTCTACTTCAACATGGCCATCATTTGAAGTGGTGGAAAAACTGGTTGATTCCTGGTGTTCACCCGGCTTCCTCAAACGTTTCATAGCCAAAAATACAGCAGTTTAAAACTGCCGGCTAAGTTAGTCAATGTTCGTGTCAATGTTTACAAGTTGGTCTGAAATTAACTAGCTATAACGGTTTAACTTTAAATTAGTTTTGTGTTATAGTAGGTAATACCTACTATAGTAGGCAATACTTACTATAATATAAAACTAATTAGGTAAAATATTGTAGTAGAATCAACGCGATGATAGAGTATTGTCAACACGATATGATACAATATAAAAGCTATCTTTAAGTCTGACGACTTAAAGATATTGGGATGTTCAAATAATTATGTTCCCCGTAACCCCGAACACGGAAAATTTGCTTCGAAAGGGGTACAGAATTATTTGAACAACCTAATATCTTTAAGTCTAGTTGTAGCGCTGTACTATATTATAATACACATTTAAACGGCGGCATAAACTTGCTTAAAAGATTGTAGACAAGACAGGGCGGGGTATTTTAAATCAAAATTTTAACTAAAGGGTAAGAATTGTAAGAAGTAGGTGTAAAAAACTTTGTGAATCACAAATAATGACCGAGGTATAGAAAAGAATATTTTATAGTATTGTAAGCTGAAATTCTACTTCCTTTCGTATTGTCTCGACTTTGAATGAAGAAAATAAAACATGACATGCTGTAACAGGGAAATGTGAAAACAATACGTACCTGATTATATAGGTAATGAGGAAGGATTTGTAGCTTAGAGGAATTAGACAGGTAAACAGGCTGGGTTCTTTGAATTTTAAGAAAGATAATAACTTATTTTGCAGTGGGTACCCATTGCCTTAGTTTTTTGAAGTTTTACTCTAGCTGTGAGCTAGCCCTGCATTGGCTCTGTTCTTGTTATAGAATAATCTTACATTAGGCTTACGCTAGGCCTACTCAGACCTTATTCTAGCCCTTTCCCTGGCCTTACCTATGTCTTACCTTAGCCCCTTCTTTAGCTCTACCCAGACCTCATTCTAGCCCCACCTAGACTTTATCCTAGTCGTTTTTCTAGTCTTACCAAGACCTTACCCTACCCTTTCTCTAGCCTTTCTCAATATAACCAGATAACTGTAGTTCCTAAAAATATTGTTTCAAATCCCCGGACATTCGATTAAACATCAAATGACATAACTCCCACCCAAAAAATATCAAAAAAAAACTTTTTTTTTAGTTGAAACTGTTCGTTCCCAAGAGGGTTGGGTTTGAAATATTTTATATTCTTTTGTCGCGAATCCCCAAACGACGTCGTTGACAGAAATGTGTCAAATCACTCAGTAAATTGTCGCTTACAAAAATTAATTTGGAACAAAAAAATTTAACTCTTACCCCCCCCCCTCCCTACCCCTACCCCTACCCCTACCCCTACCCCTACCCCTACCCCTACCCCTACCCCTACCCCTACCCCTACCCCTACCCCTACCCCTACCCCCTACCCCTACCCCTACCCCTACCCCTACCCCTACCCCTACCCCTACCCCTACCCCCCTACCCCTACCCCTACCCCTACCCCTACCTCTACCCCTACCCCTACTCTTACCCCTACTATTACCCTATACCACTACCTCCACCCTCATTTCCTACCTCTATTTCTACCCTTACCGCCACCATATCCTACGTTATTCGATCCTACCAATCTCTATCCTACCTTCTATTTTTGTTTTATACCCTGCCCTCAAATTTTATACACTCCTACCCCTACCTTAGCTCACATTATGTTACTCTACCAAGGTACCTTACCCCATATCCTCGGTTTCTAACCTGCCCTCAAATTTTTAATGACTTTAAAACTTACCCCCTCCCCTCCTTCGCCATTGTCTTATTTTTGTTCGAAGTCTTTTCAAAAATTTACCACTGTCTCTAACACTTAATCTTCCCTCTAATTAACTCCATATTTTTGCCAGATCCTGAAGAATGGTATAAAATCGAAACCAGACAAACAACAAATTACTCAAATATGACTTAAAGCCGGCCATTAAAACAACATAACAAGAAAAACGTGGCCGGAGTCATGTGGTTTTCAATAAATCTCTAATAATTTAATCGAACGAACATGTACTCGAAAGTGAAATATGTTAAGTGCTCGGGGTGTTGACGCATGATACTCGAGGAGTTGACACGAACTTTCCGAGTTTTCATGTTTTCGAGAATTGACGGTAATGTAAACAAACATGGGTTTGAAAAGGCAAATTTCAAGCTATCATATCATACCTACTCTAGCCTGAACCTTAGCCGATGCCTTAACCCATGCCCTAGCCCATGACCTAACTCATGCCCTAACCCATGTCCTAGCCCAGAGGCCTAGCCCAAAGCCTTAACCCAGAGCCCTAGACCAGGGCCCTAGCACAGAGCTTGAGCCCACAGTCGTAAACCAGAGCCTTAGCCCATGCCCTAGCTCATGCCCTAGCCCAGAGCCCTAACCCAGAGTTCTAGCCTAGAGCCCAGAGCCCTAGCCTTTGCTCTAGCTCATGCCCTAGCTCATGTTTTAACCCATGCCCTCGCCGATGCTTTAGCCTATGCCTTACTCATGCCTAACTTTAGACCTAGCTTTAGCCTAGACATATCCCTAGCCTTACCTTAAAAAACCTACCCTAGTATAAAAAATAACATTTTTCCGCTCCAAGCCTTACATCACGCCATATCCCTTATATACATACATATTCTACATCGCATATTAATATATGTTAATAAGACCCGAATTACTATGGATGAAAGTGTAAAAAGTAAAATGTTTTACAAACGGCATAAGAAAGGTCTAGACGAAAATTCAAATTTAACGACAAACTTAATGCGAAATCACGTTACAGTGAATGCACTTGTATATTTTTACATTTATCAAGGGAGGGGGTTATAGTTTGAATTACTGTAGGGCAGGGTTGAGTAAGATAGGGTAGCGTTTTTCCTGGACAGGATTAATGTCCGGTCCGGATGAAAACGATTTCTAAAAAAAAATTTTTTTTAGTGGACCGGACAGGACCGTGCCTTAAATATAGCCTGACTGGGCTTTAAAAACAATTGCCCGGACGGTCGAGACAAAACAAGTAAGGGAGGGTAGAGTAGAGAAAAGCAGAGTAATGCGGGGTGAGGTAAGGTAGAGTAGGGTAGGGTAGAGTAGGGTAGGGTAGGGTAGGGTAGGGTAGGGTAGGGTAGGGTAGGGTAGAGTAGGGTAGGGTAGGGTAGGGTAGGGTAGGGTAGGGTAGGGTAGAGTAGGGTAGGGTAGGGTAGGGTAGAGTAGGGTAGGGTAGGGTAGGGTAGGGTAGGGTAGGGTAGGGTAGGGTAGAGTAGGGTAGGGTAGGGTAGGGTAGGGTAGGGTAGGGTAGGGTAGGGTAGGGTAGGGTAATGTAGGGTAGGGTAGGGTAGGGTAGGGTAGGGTAGGGTAGGGTAGGGTAGGGTAGGGTAGGCTAGCTTAAGGTAGATTAGAGTAGGGTATGTTCAAATAGTAAAAACTAGGATAGGGCAGGGAAAAATAATGCAAAAAAAACAAATTTGCAAACAAAATATTTATGAATGGGCATGTCAAACTGACTGTTCCCTTTGGGGATTTCCGTGTAAATTTGTGAAAAATGCTGCGTCACAATACCGAGTATGCGGTACAATGTTCAAATTCAAAAAACACTACGATTTATCAAACTCAGAATAAGGAAATTAAAAATTTCAATTGTGTGGGTTTGGTGTGATGAAATTTTAATTTTGAAATTTGAAAGGTACAGTATCTGGGCGGGAATTCGTGTTTTTGGGCGGGTAAGAGGAATTTTGAGATAGAGATTCTGTTTTTCCATTGCTCTGAATTTACCTTAAATTATCGTATTGTGTCCTACCTTTTCGTACTGAACCGTACGTTGCTTTGCCCTACCCCGCCCTACTTTACTTTACCCTACCCTACCCTACCCTACCCTACCCTACCCTACCCTACCCTACCCTACCCTACCCTACCCTACCCTACCCTACCCTACCCTACCCTACTCTACCCTACCTTACCTTACCCTACCCTACCTTGCCCTACTTTTTTCCCAGACCGTCAGGTGCGGATCGACCAAAGAAAAAAAATTCTTGACCGATCTGACCTTTAAATTAGCCGGACCAAACTTGAAAACAATATTGCTCGGAAGGTCCAGGAAAACTCTGCTACCTACCCTAACTACCAGTGTTTTTCCTGGTTCGTGTAGTCCAGACTGGTCTGTAAAAAAATTGTAGACAGGGCCGGACTTCTAGTATAGCCGGACCGGATCTCAAAAATAGCCGGAGGGCACTTGAAAAAAAGCACTCCGATGGTCCAGGCAAAACACTGCGACCTACCCTACAATATCCTTTCGACCCTACCCTACCCTACTCTACCCTATCCTACCCAACACTACCCTACCCGACCCTACCCTACCCTACTCTACCCTACCCTACCCTACCCTACCCTACCCTACCCTACCCTACCCTACCCTACCCTACCCTACCCTACCCTACCCTACCCTACCCTACCCTACCCTACCCAACCCTACCCTACCCTACCAAACCCAGTCACCATGCCTTCGGTTTCGAACTTCCTCGACCAAAATAATGGTTGTTTTCTTTACTCATTGTTACCAATAATCTACCAGCACAATAAAGAAGAAGGCGTACATTCAGACACACACAACTTTGTTGTTAGTTTTTTTTCCTTTCTTTTTATCAAATAAAATGAAGAGAAAAAAATGAATTCACAAAGTGTTCCACGGATTTTTGCATGTAAATAATGTCCGGAAATGAACAAAATTTTGCGGCACGGCACTGCCGAAAAAAGAACGTTGGACGAACGGTCGCGGTGAAATGTCAAAAAAAAGATTTTTGATCAAGATTTTTTGACATTTGAGTTTTTTTTATTTGAAAAAAAAATTTCTAGTTTGGTAAGACAGAAATACACGTATTTTAACATAAAATGATACCCTAAGTAGACCAGGTCATGGAGGACAGAGCTAAAGTTAAAATTGACAGGAACTTTGCTTCCACTACTTATGATAGCAAGAACTTTCTTTACAAACCA